TTAATATATATATATATATATAAATTAATATACTTTTACAAAAATATGTCTTGAGCATGAGGTCAACCTAGTGGTCTCAAGTTTGATTCTTGTCCATGTTAGAATAATACTTGGTCTATGAAAGTTACGACTCATAAATGCAGATTAATTTTTATTTGTTGATTTTGGGACATTGTGTGGACCATATCCATAAATAAAGAAATTACTTTTAAAAGATATATAATATTAGATAAGATAAATATGTTGAAAGAAAGTTAATTAAAAATATCAATACTTAAGTCACCAATTAACGCCACATCAATAAAAATTATTAAATTTTTAATAAAAAAGACTAAAATTATATAATTATAAAATTTGAAGACTAAAATTATTAAATTAAAATTTAAAAGATTATAATATAATATATAAAAAAAATTAAAATTGTTCTATTAAAATTTGAGAGTTAAAATTATACATATGCAAGAGAGAGATAAAATCAACCGAGGAAAAAAAAACAATTGAATAATCTCGGACTGGTAGTAAAAGTCCACTTTGGACACACAATCCAGCATGTGATAATGCAGGAGTGAAAAATAAGCAGATAAGGCAACCACTCAGAATCACACACACCAATCACCACTTGGAGCCAGTGAAGGCTCAAGAGAATGGCATCAATTGCTGGCTTGCATGGTTCCTCCCAGGTTGTGTTGGAAGGGAGTGGCTCCACACGGTTGAATGTGGGGAGTGGAAGCAGGGTCACACGTGCGGGGTTAGCAGCTAGAGCACAAAGTAGCCGCAGGCCAGTGCTTTCTCTTGTTGCTGCTGGTTTGCCCACTGCCTCTTCTGTTCAAACTGATGCCAAGCCTCCCCCATCTTCTGCCCGATTGCGTAAGTCTCTCTTCCTCTTATACTTCAATTTCTTTTCAAAAAATAAAATACTTTTTTTCAATTTCATTAATTAGAATGTATTTGTCAACAATGTGACATAGTTGGTAGATATGTTTATCCTTAGTATGATTTGATTCCTTATCTGTGTATGAAAAAACAATTATTCAGAAATGACAATCTTTTTTAATGGATTTCAATTCCTTGAGGGAGTAGTCCTTAGCTTCCTATTAGGGACATATTCTAGTTTACCAAAAAGAGTTAGAATGTATTTTATCTTGTTATCCAGTTTCAGATTGTTCGGGGTGATAAATTTATCAATTTTATGGAAATTATCTTAAAAGTGGAGTCCATCTAAGATGAATTCAAATTGATTGATAATATAAGATTTTTCAAGTCTTGTATATGGAAATGGTGGGAAGGGGAGATGCCACTAAAGGTAATCAATCAAGTTCTCTAATGGAGATTAGTCATTAGTGAAGTCGGTAAATACTTTATACTAAAAATATGGTTACCAAAAATTGATTTATGATATAAAAAAATTTATGGAAAAGTTGTTTCTTTAAAGTTGAACTTTTTCCCAAAGTACATTTAATGTTGATCACTAAATTGAATAGTTAAGATTAACTGTTTTTTGCCTTCTATCTCTCACTTGATGTACATCGTGTATGTGTGTGCAATGATCAAAACTTGTCTATTGGAAATCATTAATGGGTCATGGGTGTTGCAATGAATGATGAGTGATGGAAAATGGAAATGAGGTAGAAGAATCTGGACTCTGGAGGTAGAGTTGAGATTGATTTTAGCAAGTTTCATTTATGAAAACTGGGTTAGAGGCCAAGACAGGACACCAAAAAGGAAAAGTCAGAAATGGGGCTGTGACATTATAAGTATTGTACTTATAATTTTCATGTGACATTCTAGTGTTGTACCGAAGTACAATAGGTTTTGAACAGAAAATAGGTCATGCATGTCGCATCAAATGATGAGGGATGAAAAATAAAGTTTAGAGTTAGACAACTCAAAGTGAGACAGAATTGAGTTCAATTTTAGGATATTTCATTCATGATAAAGGGTTTAGAGGCAAATACAAGGAAAATAAGTTGTTATTACTATTAGGGACATAAAGAATGGAGTTTGTAGATAATTATGACCATGATTTGTGTGTTATGGAATATGGCATGCAGCTGGAACATTGAACTCAGATGAAGCAAGAGACCTTAAGCTGCCACTGAAAGAAAGGTTCCCCCTATACCGGCAAACATTAACAAAGTAGATACTACTAATGTAGAAGCAACACAAAACGGGTGTTTGTTGTGTGCTTCTACTCCTCATGTCATCTTTTCATTGTAAGTTTTTCTCAAACACCATCCGCATCAAAATCCAAAATTTGGATTTGAATGCCACTTTCATACCTCTATGTATATGTTCAATGTTCTGTGAACTATGTTGGTTTTATGCTTCTTCTTGATGTTAATGTTAATATGTAGTGTTAGATGTAATGTGATGTTTGATGTTATATGATATTATAATGTTTTATTAGATGTTAGAATCAGTCTTCTAATTCCGATTGAAAGTTTAAATTCTCACTTGTGTGTTGACCTGAGTGGGAGTGAAATTCAGTATAAATAAGGTTGATCATTGAACTAATTGGAGCTGGCAATGTTGCTTTAAGGTTTACTAACGTGTGTTTGGTTCCATTCTAAATTTTTCACATTTACTGAGGAGCTAATAGTAACAGTTTTGAGGAGCTAGTAACTATGGCTTCGGCATCCCGAACATCATATTTTACTTCTCAAGGGGTTTCCAAGTGATACCAACACAGTTGGGCTCAAGTCCCTTTAGTAGGGTCTAGGGTTTAAGCCTTGTAGCCGGAAAAAAAGTGGTTGGAAAGAGAACTTTCACTAAAGGTAGTCAATTATGTTTTTTGCGAAAGTTATTCATCGATAAAGGTGGTGGGTTTTTGCATGAATAGCATAAACTAAAAAATGGGTTTCTAATGATTAGAAAAAAATTAGTTAATGGAAATTTTTGCAAGTACTAAAAGGGTTATACTTTCTTGGCCAGTGAATTTCCCTTGTGCTGTCCTAGGAACTGTATTTTGTCAAAGGAAGCAATTAACTCATGGATGCACAAACCAAAAATCAAAGGATTACCTGTAAGAATGGCATGTGGATTGATATGCTTTTGCGAAATTTCGTGAATGGATTGTCATTTGGTGGGTTGTTTTTGTCTGTGATGACAGAGTCATGCTGCATTCTGAGAAGGCATTGAGGAGGACTCTCATCCTTTCTGTCTTGGTCTCAACTGGTGTTTTTCCAGCTTTATCTTCTTATGGGAAGACAAAGAGTAAGAATCCGTATGATGAGAAACGTTTGCTACAACAAAATCAGCGGATACAAAAAGAAAACAATGCACCGGAGGACTTCCCAAATTTTATTAGAGAAGGTGAGAATGATTTTTTTTTATCCATCTCTTTGATGATCAGTAGCTGATTTAGGAGCCTAGTGTGAAATTTATTTGTTGTGTACCTCTTGGATATATTGTAGTCTGATTAATTGTTATACGTTTCAGGTTTTCAAGTTAAAGTAGTGTCATCAGATAACTATGTAACGAGTGATTCAGGTCTCATATACCGAGATTTTGTAGTTGGTCAAGGTGATTGCCCAAAGGATGGTCAGCAGGTTTTTGTTTTATTATTTTTCCAATCTATTGCTTATTCCTTTGTAAATTAATAAGTCAATCGTTCAGCAGAAGCACTTTACAAGAATATTAGGCAATAAGCATCAATGAGAACTAGAATTGACCCTATGTAGTGTTTAGAAACTGGCTACGCCTCTAAGTATTATTAGAGAACGGAAAGTATATTTTGCTTTAGAATTAAATCATTTGTTATATGTTAAGGAAACCATGGAGGCAATTATTTTCTCTGCGGTATTAATTGCATACTAAGTTGTTTTGAGGAATATAATTTGTTGAGATGAGGATATTTGGACATTGATATTTGAGTGGTTTAATTTGGGAGGTAATATAATTTTTCTCCAAATCTATAGCTTTTTCAGCTATTGATGTATGTCCATCAAACAGTTTGTCTTTGTAAAAACTATTGCTTTTACAGTTGTCTTTCAAGTAAAATGTTTAGCAATCAGCCTAAAATTTCACTATGACAACAACATAAAAAAAATTCTTGGATTAAGACAATGACTTCTTGATGCTTTTATGTTATATATGCTAGCTTTTGTGTCAATATAATATTTGGTTATTTATGTTTTCCAAATTTTTAGTGCATATCAAAATAAACTTCCGGTTGCTATAAAATTGTATGTTTTTTAACTTCATTTTATCATCCATCTATATTGGGGTCAGACTTTCATTATCCACTCGGGCAAGGTGATTAGTTGAAAATGGGAAGCTATCTAAAAAAATGTCCTTTTCAGCACTGCAAAACTTCAAATTTTAGAACACATTAAAGCTTGACTTTAGTTTAAATTGCATATACTAATTTTCTTGTTATCTGATTGTACTTGCAGATCACTTTTCACTATGTTGGCTATAACGAATCTGGCCGTCGTATTGACAGCACTTATTTGCAGGGTTCTCCTGCCAAAATTCGCATGGGTAACAAGTCATTAGTTCCAGGTTAAAATTTCTATGATTTAGTACTATGAATTTCCTTAAAACTTTATTGAAATAGTATTCATCCTTTGCTTGATTTTTATCTCTCCCTTAAAGAACCCAAAAGGGGAGGAAATAAGTGCACAAGGAAGTGAAACAAGTACATTTCCTGATGTAGGATTTGAGGAAGGAATTAAAGACATGAGACCAGGTGGGAAGAGAAGAATCATTATTCCCCCTGAACTTGGACCACCAGTGAGTTTTAACATCTCTCATTTTCTTTTATGTTCTTTCTCTAACTTATTTTGTGGTCTTTCCATATTATTTGATATTGACTACTTAGAACTTGGTGGTGCATGCTAAGGTCAAAGAATTTTTCCTTGTTAAAACACACCAAATTATCATATTACAATTTACAGCACTGAAGGCACATTTAACTTTGACATTTGGTAGGATCTAGTTTGGACAAAATAAATATCTAATCAAAAATGAAGAAATAATCTATTCGACTTTGGATATATACAAACTTGCTGGATCTCTTCCTCTGGTCTAGGAAAAAGCATACCTAATGTGTAGTGTTATGTTGAGAATTATTATCTTAACTACTTTTTGTCATTAATTATTGTTTCCTTTATTTTGTATCTGATTTGCTTTATTAACTATTGATATATCATAAATGTGTATAGCATTTGCTGAAATGGATTCTATAGATTTCTCTTTAAAAAATGTCTGATACAATGTTAGAATCAAATTGATGCACACTTCTTGCCCCCAATCCTTAGAGGAGCTTTTTATGATTAATGTTGATCCTTTCATTTAAGTGGGTCTAATTTGATCTTTTACACCGCCAAATACTGGAGAAGTTTCGGCAGAAGAGTGAGGTCTATTACTTGGATTAAACTTACTCTTTCTGTGATAACTAATCAGAACTATTATTATGTGATTAAATAATCTGTTGAATTCACTAAAAGTAAAACAAATAAAATTATCTGTTGGGAACTGTTACTAAGCATATTATACTCTACTTTTCCCCCCCTATTTTTCAGCATAAGAAAACTTTATTTCAATATTATGTCCAAATTGGAGTAACATGGTTTTCAATTCTGATTCATGAGCATTTTTTAACGATTGCTCATTATTCTTAGTAATACTTTCTGATTTTCAGTTCTTTCAACTGTACTCAACTTCTCTCAGAAACACAATTTTGGGATAAATAATCTCTCCTGGGTAGCAAGCCTAATGTTTTTGTGTTCTGCAGGTAGGACCCTCAACCTTTTTCAGCGCAAAACAGTTTGAAGTTTTTGATATTGAACTATTAAGCATACAAAACTGTGAAAGAAGGACCATAGCCTTTTACTCAGATGTGGTTTGCAATTGAGATAAGGATGCCATCTGAGCTTTCTAAAGCATGACCACTAAAGGCCTAGAGCACAGATTATTATAGCTAAGAACTAAGTTATGATTTTACATAGTAACTACACAACCTTTAGCTTCTTGCTTTGAGGCAATCATCAAATGTCATTGTTGAGATTTTTTCTTCATTTTCTTTGAGCATATTGGCTAGTGTTTTTTTATTGATCTGGTATGTAAGATGTTAACCTTGTCAATCATCAAGAAAGGGTATAGTCTTCATTGGTAAATTGGTTAAGAACTTTTCATAGTAGTGGGATCCTCTTATCTTCATTTGATTGGATGACAAACCAACCAAGCTTTGTAGCGTGGACATGAAACCGTACCATTCTTGTTCCCAAAATAATTTGGTACGCACCCAACTCATTTTTGGATACAAAATCAGAAAGTATTTTCCACTTTGGTTGAATAAATTAGCTTTACGTTTTCCACCCGCAATGTGCATTCATCATTGGAGTTTCGTGGTTATTCTAAATAGAGAGGCCAACAACAAAGTTTTTATTATCTATTGAAATTTATTAAAAATTATAAATTAGTTTATTGTAATTTTATTTAATGTGTTCTCACTTTAATTTGTAGCTTCAAATAATTTTTAATCAACTATAAAAAAATAACACATAAGTATACCGATTAATTTATACTCTTGGGTCTATAATAATAGAAAGAAAATTATCTAAAATGTCCAATACAAATCAAAGGGTTTAACATATACCTAATTGACTATTAGAATCCAAATCCACCAACATATATTTAATTGTCTAACTACTCAAAGTCATATATTTATTATGTTAACCAATATAAAATAATAATAGAATAGGGCAAAAGTGACACACTATACCTCTATATTTGTTATTTAAGAAATAATAAGTTATTAATAGTAGAAAGATTTAAGTGATAAACCACATTGAGTGTGCATTATTATAAAAGGAATCCAAAGATTAAATTGTTAAAAAACATTTACAGTTTATACTTTAAAATAATAATAATAATAATAAAAAGATAATGTAAATTTATCATAATAAATTAAGGATAAAAAGATCTTAAAATAAATGTGTACATAAAAAGATTTTATTATCTTTATTAATATTATAAAGTGAAAATTTGATATCTAAATCAGTTAAGGTCATATTTTAATTAGTTTAAATTGAATTCAATATAAATTAGAAATTTTTTTTGAATCAATTTAATTAATTTGATTCAAATTATTAAATTCCTTGAATCGATTCGAAGCAATGAACAATTATATTGATATTCTTAACATGCATAGTTTTTTCCTTCAAATTAATACATAATTAATTTATTTTTAATTTACTTATCTTATACCTAATCAATCGACACCTTTTATTAGTTTTATCTCCTAATCATTGTCGCGTCATATTGTTTATTACGTATACATCTTTCTTGCTTTTATTTCTTCCACTTCCTTGTGTAAAATGGATTTTTGCATCGATGATTCATTTTATATATAAAATACTTTTCTTTTAAAATACAGAAAAGATGAGAAAGAGAGAAAAAGCAACAAGCATGTAACTAAATAGCAGCAACATTAAACATTAAATTAAACCCGTTGACCGTTTCTTTGCCTCCAAAATCCATAACGGTAACCTACCTCTCATTCTTCCCTTCTTTTTCTCTCTTTCATTTCCTCTGCCCCCAAACACCGAAACCCAACCACAAACCAAACCAAACCAAAAATTCAACCCAATTGCGACTCCATCCATCACCCAACCCCTGTTTCCACCCCCCCAATGCACCGCCATGGCACGCCGGAAAACGCTGACGATGGACTGGGACAGCCTCAGCGACGTTGACGACGACGACGCCTTCTTCGAGTCTTACAGCCGCCTCTCCACCGCCGTTCCCGTGGACCTCGCTTCTTCCTCTGACGATGACGACGATGACGACGACAAATTCGACGACCCCCGCATGTCCTTTGCCTCCGCCGTCTCCTCTGTTCACCCGCGAAAAAACAGAGCCCCTTCCCCCACCGACGCCGACGCCGACGCCGCCCCCGATTACGGCATATGGATGGCCGCCCCGACCTCAATCAACGAACGCCGAAAACGATTGCTCCACGGCATGGGCCTCGACGACGACAAAGAGTTCTCAAAAAACCCCAGCATGAAGCTTAACCAAACAATTTCAATTAAAGAATACACTCTTCCCTCCTCCAACATTAACTCCAATACCCCCGAGAAAAAGCCAACAATTTTGGTTACTTCCGCGCCGGTTACCGTCGCACCTCCAAAATCCTCTGTTTCGGCAGAGAAGAAAACAGAGCACTCTGTTCCAACAGGGTCAAAAACAGAGCACTCTGTTTCAACAGGGGAGAAAAACACAGAGCAATCCTCTGTTCACATAGTCCCAGTCCGTTCCCGCTCCGAGGGCGACATCGAGTTGTTCTCCGTGGAGAGGTCGAGAAAGGAGGATTTCATCGGGAAGGTGTCGAAGCAGCGCCTGAGGCGGACCGCCACCGCGGTGGCGATCCCGCGCGCCCGAACCACAGCCCGAAACCGAGCGATCACGCGGGACTCCGAAAAACGGAGCGCGGTCAAAGCGGAGGACTCAGCAGTGGGAGCGTTCTTACTGATAAAGAACCTGGACACGGGAACGGAGTTCATCGTGAACGAGTGCGGCGAGAACGGAGCGTGGAACAGGCTGAGCGACTTGCGAACGGGGAAGCAACTAACGATGGAGGAGTTCGAGAGGACGGTGGGGAAGTCGCGCGTGGTGAGCGAGCTGATGAAGCGCGGCAACACGGACCGCAAGCTCTCCTCGTCGACCTCGTACATTTCGAGGAGTCTGAGGCTGAGCAAGAAGAGGGGCGCGGCGTTTCTGAAGAACATAAGAGGCGTGGCGAGCGGGTTCATCGGGGAGCGCGAGAGGGACGCGGTGCACGTGGTGGCGGTGCCCGAGGCGAGGAGCCAGTGGGTGCGCGTGCGCCAGAGCGGGAAGTCGCACAAGGAGCTCTCGGCGCTGCACCTGTGCCAGGAGCTTCGGGGTCACGAGGGGTGCGTGTGGGCCATTAAGTTTAGCTTCGACGGGCGGTACCTCGCGAGTGCGGGGGAGGATAGGGTGGTTCGCTTGTGGGAGGTGCAGGAGTGTGAGGTTATGTCGTTGCGGCCTGAGGATGGGAGCCTCACTCCTCTTCACCCCTCGCTGCTTGCTTCTAACGAGTTTTCTTCTCCCTTCGCCTCTGACAAGAAGAAGAAGGGCAAATTCGGAAGCAAAAGAGGACCTGCTGTTCCTGAATATGTTCATGTTCCGGAAACTGTTTTCTCGCTTTCCGAGAAACCATGTTGCTCTCTTCGCGGACATACTGACGATGTTTTGGACTTGGCATGGTCTAAATCTCAGGTCCAATTTCCTTCATTTTAGTATTAAGAGACTGTTGCTCGCTCTTTCATGAGTTTGCATGGAAAATTTAAATAAAATAATTTATTTATTTAAAAATTTTAAGTTTTTTTAAAGTAAAGTAATTTGTTTGGATAAAAAATTTATAAAAAATTTAAAATTTAAATATATATGAAATTATTTAAAATAGTAAAATTTTAAATTTTTTAAATAAAATCTTTTATCATTTCATTCTTTTAATTATTAAATATTTAAAAATATTTTTAAGATTATTAAATATTATCTAATATTAATTTTTAAAATTATTAAATATTTAAAAATTAGCTATTATTTATTTTTAAAAATTTTATTTTGAAATTTTCAATATATAAATATATTTTTAAATCAATTTTATTATGATAGAATCAAATTATCATATCTAACTTAATAATTTAGAATTTAAAAAATTTGAATTGACTTATTTAAATAAAATATTTTAAAATAATAAAAATTAGAATCAAAGTAATTCAAATATCAAAAATTTAAATTTCTTGAATTCATTATCCAAACACACGGCTATATGAATGAATATAGTGTATGTATTCTAAGTGCTAAAATATAAATAAGTAAGAAGTCAGATTGTTATTTTGTGTAGTTAAATTGAAGAATAATTTTCGGTTATTCGATTTATTATATATTGCATTCCGTTCAACATTTTTTAACTATTCATGGAAGAATGGGCTCAAGCAAAAACTATGAATATCCTAACTAGAAAGGTTTTAGATAAAGGGTGAGTTTCTGCATATAAATTTAAGGATAAAGTGTAATAGTAATTTTTATTAAAAACTTGTGATAAAATCAAATATTTGTATAATAAAATTTAAAATTAATTATAATATATATATGATTAATTCTGTCATTTATGATTATCATTACATTTTATTCTTTAAAATGAAATTTCTTCATTTAAGAAAAATCAAAATCTTTTTTAACCATTTTGATTTTTAATTTTTTAACAATGACAAGGATTGTCTAATTATGATGACACAAAGTTTAAGCTATGATTAAAAATATATTTAAATAAAAATACTTTTAAGAGAGAAGAATAAAATAAAATTTTTCATAACTTAATATACTAAAATAAGATTTAAAAAAAACTAATTTATGTGTAAACTAATTTTAATTTATAAAAAAAAAAATTATTGTATTTTTTTGTTTTTATATTTTTATCTCTTACAAATAGTTATCGAAGAAGGACAAGTGAAATTTCTCTCTTATTTTGAGGTTTTGATGGGATTTTATTTTCCCCTGCAGTTACTTCTATCATCTTCAATGGATAAAACGGTCAGATTATGGGATTTGGAAACTAAGACTTGCTTGAACACGTTTGCCCATAATGACTATGGTGAGAGTGAGATGCTAGAGTCTGGTCCATTATTTTAATGTTGTATATGGTTTTTAACCCTTTGGAAGGAAAGAGTTTGAGTTGAGTTGAGTTAATTACATTTTGTTGGCTACTTGTTTGATGAGGGATTGGATATTGCAGTAACCTGCATACAATTCAATCCAATCGACGATGATTATTTCATAAGTGGTTCGCTCGATACCAAGGTCAGGATATGGAGCATCTCTGAACGCCAAGTTGTGAATTGGATTGATATCCATGAAATGGTTACCGCAGTGTCCTATACACCTGATGGTCAGGTACACCGTTTCTTATTTCTACCCTTTCCTTCATGTAATTTAATTCTCTTCCAACCCAATTATGCAATGATTTTGATCCTTGTTCATTACTATTGTAGGGTGCTCTTGTTGGTACCCATAAAGGGAGTTGTCGTACATATAGTACACAAGGTATTAGCTACTCAAACCTTGTTGGAATCTTATCAGAAATTTACCAACTCATATTGTTAATTTGTATTTCCTTATGGTGAAGCAGATTGTGTACTATCTCAAACAGGCACAATTGAGCTTCGACACAAGAAGAAATCTCAACTAAGAAAGATCACTGGTTTCCAGGTAATTCTTATCCCAATGTGCAATAATAAGTCAGATTCTGTTTGATGCAAGGACAACACATTTACTGGCTTTGTTTCTTACATTACAGTTTGCTCCAGGCAAACCATCACAAGTTCTTGTCACTTCAGGCGATTCCAGGATAAAAATTTTGGATGGTTCAGAGGTTGTTCAAAAGTATAAAGGTGCTACATAATACCCATTAAAAATATGATTAATTTCCCTTTTGATCCTCATATATGTGTAGTTGGTGTTATTTTCTATCAAAACTTGAAATTTTAACTCGGGAGTAAGCAGGAATATATATTAATAATATTTACATTAAATACAAGTATATAATATTAAGATAAAACTCTAATTCTGTTTGGAAAACATCAACAACAGCACTTAAGGAATTATACCTAGTTCAAACCGTTCCATTTTAATTTTTATGCATACTACTTTTATTTTCTTTTAATCTATGTCATCTATTGTCATTGAAACTAAAAAGTAAACTTTATGAAACTATATACTAAAAGGAAACAAAAATGTACCCTCTGCATGTGTCATGTTAGCCAATATATTGTTGTTGAACATGAACAGGTTTTCGAAATTCAAACAGCCAAATTGCAGCTTCATTTAGTCCAGATGGGAGATACATCATAAGTGCAAGTGAAGATTCTCAAGTATATATCTGGAAGCGTGAAGAGCATCATAAAAGTGGAGGCAGTGGTAAAGGTAGAAACGTGCTAGTTATCCGTTCCCATGAGCACTTCCAATGCAAAGACGTTTCAGTAGCAATAGCATGGCCTTATACCATAAGAGGTGACCCCCCAGTAGTGCCAATGCACCATTCCAAAAGACATTCAAAGCGTTTTCAGGCAGCATCTGGTAGTGGTGGAGAAGACACAGCATCGCCATCTGGTAAGAGAACACTTCCACCCCTTCCCAGCAAGAAGTGTGCCTCTCCAAAGGAAGACACAGATTCATTTGCAAGCAGCAAGAGACATCATGTGCCATTGTCTCCAATGAGAGCTAACTGGCGCACCCAAGATGAAGAAGACCTTGATGCTATTTCACGCACAGATTCAGGAATTGGTGACTCTTTTAGTTCAGGGTCATCCTCAGTTAGGTATGGTGATTCACCTTCATCTGCATCATGGTCCTCTTCTTATTCACTATTGGACACTAGCCATGCTTCCTCATCAATTATTCCTTCAGCATGGGGCTTGGTAATTGTCACAGCCGGGTTTGGAGGTGAAATCAAATGTTATCAAAATTTGGGGTTGCCCAGAAAGATGGGCATGCAACCCCATCTTTTTGGAGGCCATAACAGTTTCTCACATGCCAACACATAGAACATTTTCTCATTTCTTTCCTCCACACAAAACTTCTATCGTAGACCATGCATTAGTCCCCATCATAGAGAGACACATGGGTCTCCTACACTAGTGCCGTCAAACTTTTAAATGCAGGATGAAAGCCTCAATTTTATAGAGATTGTTTATGAGTTAATCACCTATATACTGTCAGTGTAAAAAAATTTTATACTAGTAACTAATTATATCTTTTAATTGTACTGTCAAACTTTTAAATGTATTTATAGTGACATGACACAATTAAAATATATAATTGGTTGCCAGTGTAAAAAAATTTTACACTGACAGTATATAGATAATTAACTCATTGTTTATTTAATGGCAATTTTTATGCATGTATGACTAAGCTTGACAAGAAATTAACATTGGGATTGTTCGGATAAATTTACTTATAATTTAGAAGAAAATAAAATAAAATACTTGAAAAAATGCAAAGTACATTCAAGTTTGATTAGAGGAGGAAAAAAACAAAAAGAAGAGGAAACTGACAAAATTTTTCTTTCTGTTCTCGTGAATTTGTAGGTCAAGCAACATTTGTACATTAGTATGGCTGATTGTGTGCTAGATATCTTTATACTGATGTACATAGAAAAGTGAATGCGTATTGTTGGTGGTGGAATTTGGTTTATGTTTCTTAAATAAATTAAACATGCACGAGATAAACTCGAAGGAGTCTTGAAGAATAAATAAATATTAAAATTAAAGACTTTATTTTACATTAAAGAAAAATTAAATACCCTTTTATTATCAACTATTTTCGATTATGAGTTTTTTTAACAAGCAACTACTATGTTTATAACCTGGTATGTATGAATTTGTGAATTGGTTCAATTAATTTATCTTTCAAATTATCTTTAAACACTTCTTCAAAAGTAAATTTGATTATTTAACAAAAAATTAAGAATTATGATGTCATTCAATTCAACAAGTATCAATACTTATAATAAATAGTAATCAATGACTAATTTAAAATTGTTATGTTGTTTTCCACTTCAAGTTTTAATTAATTCTAAATCACAACAAATCATATATTTTAATTTGGATTTTTAAGATATGATTCAAACGAAACATAAAAGAAAGATATGAGAAGTAGACATAAATAAATGAAAAAGAAAGGGATTAGATATCAGAGTTGCATAAAATGTAAATTGCACAAACGAAAGTACAAGGGGGTGAGAAATCAGAGTGCAAAGTAAATTGCATGAAATGTAAATAGAAGGATGAGAAATGTGAGTTGCAATAAAATTAAATCGGATATAAGTGTTAGTTAGAAAAGATGGCTAGATGGATGGGTGAATTGAATCTTTAAAAAAATTGTTTAAAGAAATTTTTGGTTAAAATCTTTTCAAAAGTTTTCAATTAATTCAATTGATTTTCAGCATTTGCAGGGATGAAGATGCTGAATATGGACCATGCAAAATGGTTATGCACTATCCTATATTATGTGCATTCATTTAGATCAAACAAATATATGATTAATTTACAAGAGCACCAATAAAAAAATTATTTAAGATAGAATAAAAAAAATTACACAATAATTAATATTAGTTCAATTATTATTATTGTGATCTACATCCAACTTCAATCAATCCGACTAAGATATTATCGATCTTTAATTTCTGGAAGGTTTATAATCACACATACAATATATTTCTGAAAGAATTAAAGAAATCACTTTGTAAACTCCAAAAGAACACCCTTGTAGAAAATTCATTTTTTTCATAATTTTGGAAATCCGCCAACAAAAGAATAACCGGTTATTTGTGAAACAAATTCATAAATAACCGATTATTTTATGATTTAATCAATTATAAATGACACATGAAAATTTTGTAAAAACTATAACAAAGGAACTAATGAATATTAGAAAAAAAATATAAAAATTAAACAAATTTGTAAAATTATATAATGACACAATCACACTTACAAATATACAAAAAGTAATTATAACAAACAAGTAGAAAAACAAATAAACATAAAATAAGGTAGAAGCAACAAAATTAATCATACAACATAAATATGAATAATAAAAAAAATTATGAGTGAAAGAAAAAAAATTACATTAGAATTCTTATTTCATTATATTGACCCTCTTACATATTACATTAAAAAAAAATCATTTTCTATTATTTCACACTCGTGTTTTATCATCATTTTGGAATCTCTGTCATATATTTTTTTCTCTCAAATTTTAGTTCTTTAGCAAGGTGTTTTGTCCCAAGATGTCTCAACCTTGACTTACATCGGTGAATTGCATGCCATCACTAGTGTAGTAAAGAGATGGAGATAATATTTGTTGGGCAATTTTTTCACTATCCAAACTGATCACAAGAGTATGAAGGAGTTGTTTTCTCAAGTTATACAAACTTCCAAACAACATTATCACACTAACCTCCTTGGTTATCATTACAAGATCCAATACAAACTAGACAAGTTTTGTAGTGGATGGACTCTCCCACTCCTATGAAACCCCAGTGGCCACATGGCATATGATATTGGTCCCTGATCAGTTTGTTTTTTTCGATAATTTTAAGTCATAATCTCATACCCTTTTAGAGACCCAAACGATCTTTTACCATTAAAAAAAGTGAGGTATAATAACTTTATTTAAATATTGAAATAAAAAAATGTTTTGTCTACACATTAGGCTTGGGCAAAAATTTCCGGCCGATCCGAAACCGGCCAAACCGACGATCAGATCGGGTGAAGCGGATTGATTCTCAGGTATTTCGAATTTTTTCTGAAGCAAATTTTGGGTTCAAACGGGTTTGATTGGTCGGATTCGGTGTTGGAATTTTCTCATCCGATGTACCCGAATCCGACCGTTTATCTTCTTCTTCTTCACCGTTTATTTTCTCCGTCTTTACCGTTCTTCTTTCTTCTTCTTCTTCACTCCGTCTTCTTTCTTCTTCTTCTTCACACTGTTTTCTTTCTTCTTCTTCTTCACTCCGTAACCATCCTCTTTTCTTCAACTTTTTCCTGCCATGGCTACCGCCGCTGAGAAGCTCCCTGTTCTGGTTGATGAAGGTGGTGATGTGGAGATCTGAAACTCCGTGATTTCCCCCAAATGAAGTAGTGATAGAGACCGGCAAAGAGTGACGACGGATGGCGGCACCCGATGAATCCATCCGATGAACCCGTAACCCGCACGGATTGAACCCGCCAAAATCTGAGTTCTTCGTCAGTCGGAAATGGTCCCTGATTTTTCTTAATCGGTTTCGGACGATTTTAAGAATTTTGGTCCGAAACCGATCGTGCCCGACCGATGCTCAGGCCTAGACTACACATAATCCTGTGACTCTGAGTATTCTTCTGAATTCTGACCACCCTATTGCAGTGTCCTTTATTTAGCTAGTGTAAAGAATATTCCCACTAGTACACTGCTGCTCAATCTATTTGTCTCCTAAACAAGAGCTCACACTGTTACCCAAAAAAGCTGATAAGAGTCACTCTCACGTCACCCTCTTGGTTGTCTCATTTTTGACTTCCAGAGACTATGCACCTAAATTGCATTTCCTTGCAGCCAGAATAAAAGCTCTCACGTCCATATCCACTCTACCATGCTCACAATTTTATTGCCACTATCTGACCAATGCCGCTTCCTTTGTCTTGTTCCCTATGCATTTGTTGAATTCTACTATTTTTCTTTTGTTGCGTTGGTCAGAGGACACAATCAGTAAATTATGACAATTTTTCTTTTCCTTTTTTTATTTTTCTCTATCAACTTAAGTGACTGCTCTGGACTCTTCTTCCTAGTGTTTAAATCCAGTATCATTCATTCCACTCCAACATATCCAATTTACTCAAACACAATAATGGCTCTACAGGTATCATTTTCCTCTCTCTCATACCCATCCTCCTAGTACTAGTATTTCAATTATACCTCTTAAAAGTCTATATATAAATCACACAACCCCATTATATCTTGTTAATTGTGTAAGTTTTCGGATATATCATCATAAAACTCCTCTTAATGTTTTTCTTGGTCTCTCTCCCATTTCATAGGAATAAAATTCATCAGTACACTTCTTAGATGTGATTATTGTTAACTTTCGATCAGAGTCGGAGTTTTATTATTTCAATATGTATAAATATATATTAAATATGTATAAATATATATTAATGAAACTTAGCATAATATCAAATTAAAACTCCAATTATAATTGAAGAACAGTATGAACTATATTTAAAGAATTATACCTAAGATTTCTCATAAAAATATTTTAATCTACTCGAGTAACCTCTATTTTGGTTATGACAAAAATAAATGTTTATCGTGTTCTGTTTGTCTTTAGTGTTTTTTAATGTTACCTTTGGGTGGTTTTGGAGCTGATGCAGGAAGAAGGGTGGCCTTTGGGTTTGAGATTATTGAATGCAAGAATTGGGTTAGTAAGAAATGGTGATTTCTCTGGATCAGTCTCCTTCAGCACTATGCTCACTGCTTCTCCCACCCCTTCAACTGATTCTTCCTCAGATCTTGACACACAGGTAAGTAATTTTCTTTCAACAAATGTATAATAGAGAATATTGAAGCTATTCCACTTTGTTTTCCTCTGTAATTTCTCCCTATATATATTTTTTTGCTTTTATCCATGTCCCCTCTTTATTTACTCAACAATAATTAACTGCATTCATCGTAGTATAGAAAAGCGACTGTTGAAATGTTTTGTTTGTTCTTATTCGCCTTTAATTATTTTTTTTTAAATTACCTCCAATATGTTATTAGGATTAAAATAATTTTTTAAAATTAATAATAATATTTTTTTATAAAAAAGTAAAAATATTTTAGATATGAATCTTGA